AAAAAAAAAAAAAACAAAAAAAAAACCACTTTGTAAATGTTTTTATCTAGATATCTAGTAGGATTCTAAGGCTGCTTTGCATGCATAACTATCTCAGACAGCAGAGCCACTGCACTGTAGGCTGGCCAGTGCTTCAGAGGCCATCCTGTTGTGTCTTTACTAATATCCATTATCCAGACCTCTAAAACAACATAGTCTAAGGTTACAAGTCTTAATAAGTACAAAATAATTTAAGTAATTTCCTATAATTCATCAGACCATAGGAAAATAAAACTCAAAAATGATATAAGGGAAACTATAAAACCTACATAAATATTCAAGGATTGAACAAGGCACTTTGAATGGCCAATGGATTATTGAAGGAATTGGGGAAGACATTAGGACAATAATCCTAGTGGCAAATGGAAAAAGTATAACTTATCAGAACATTTGAGATATGGCTAAGGCATCCTAAGAGGAAAGTTTATAGATGTAAGTGCTCACATTAAAAATGAAACAGAAAATGTTTCAAATAAATAACCTAATGATGCACCTGAAGGCTCTAAAAGGCAAAGAGAAGCCAAAAAAAAAAAAAAAAAAGGCAGTAGAAAAGGTGTTGTGGCCCAGCATGTCTCAGCTTTAACCCATGACAACCATGAGGTTCTACCTGAGTGGGGATATGTAGACCTGGAAGCTCCTAGCAACCCAAAGGCTATAAAGACCAAACACAGGCATCTTGTCATCTTCAGAGAGCTCTCAGTTCCATGTTGAAGAACTAGAGTCTTTATTAGCCATCTTTTCTGGTGTTTCTTAACCATCCTGCCAACACCACGAGGGAACCATCTCTCTTTGTTCTCTCTCCTCTCTGGTCGCTTGCCCCTAACTCCTAACCTTCCCTCTGTCCTCATAAATTACTGGCACACCTCTGCTCTCCTTACCCAGGTGAGGGCCTATTCAGATGCTTAGGCACATAGAGATGCAAATTAGGAGGCATATTACCCTGCGGCCATGGTAAACAATAGTAGCCCTACTGGCATTAACAATACAATGGTAGGCCAGAGCTTTCTGGTGCTCCATGTTTACAGAAGCTAGAGACTGGGCCCCAAAATATTCCATAACAGAATTATTTGGTCCCCCACAAAAAGGGGTTGAAATACAGCTCAACAATTAATAGCACTTCCTACTATTTCAGAGGGCCTGAGTTCAGTTGCTAGTACCCATGTCATATGGCTCACAGTTGCCTCTACCTTCAGAATATATGACCGCCTTTTCTGGACACCAAGGGTACATGCATGGACTTATATGTGCACATATTCACAAACAGATACATACTATAGTAAAGAAAATAATGATTAAGGTAGAAATTAATGAATCAGGACTACTCAATAAAACTAGGGGTGAAAAGAAGATTGTGATAATAGATTCCAATGAAATCAGATATTGAAATACCTTCAGCATTTGTCAGACACTTGTGGTCTTTTGTGCTTCTATATGAATCCTAGTGAAAACTTTGATACTTTATAATCCAAAAAATATCTGGAAAATCTAAGAGAAAGATGAATTTTGAGACATATATGACTGACCAAAATTAAATCAATTGGGTATGAAGGCCTTAAACAGATTCATAGAAAGTAAACAGTTAAAGTGGTAATAACAAGTGTCCCTAAAAAGATGAGCTCAGGGCAGGGAGGCTCTGCTGAATTCTGCTAATCCATTAAAAGGAGCAAACACTAGTATTTCTCAGACTGTAGACAAATTAGAAAAGGAAGGCAAGCTGAAAAACTCCTATTAACCCAGCATCATCTTAATGCCAGAACCAGATAAGGGCACAATAACAGCTGACAAATAAACCAACAAACAAACTACAGTCTAATTTTCATAATGAACATGAATGAAACTTATTGCTAAAATTCTTGTAAACTGAATTCAAGAACTTTAAAGGAGATCATACATGAGGACAGAGTTGGTTTTGTTGTGGGGATAAGAGGATGCTTTCAACATGCACAAACTGATGAAATGTTAATACAGCACACAAATAAGCTTCATGATCAAAAGTTGAAAGAAACTAGGAACAGAAGAAACTTATCCCCACCTATTAAGGGCCAGATGTGACACCTCTAATTAGCATCATACTTAATGGGGAAAGACTGGAAAAAATCTCTTTTAAAATCAGAAATGAGGTGGTGTTCAGTTTTTCCAGTCTTACTCAATATAATGCTCAGAGCCTTAAACAGCAAGATGGGAGATGAGGCAATACATAAGTATGAATTAAGATGATGTTACTACAATGAAATTCCCTACTTTGTATGCTAACTGAAATTAATTTTTAAAAAGATCCCTAGAGAAGGCTCCAGCTAAGACTCATGCAGCAGTAGATGCATAGTGTGAATCCGTCATCCCCTGTGCTTGGTGACTACCCTGGTTGTCGGATTGTTAGCAGAGAGAGCCTTCATCCAGTGACTGTTGGAGGCAGGTTCAGAGACCAATGGCCAAACATTGGGCAGAACTCCTGGAATCCTGCTGAGGAGAGGGAAGAGGAATTGTAGGAGCCAGGGTAGGGCTATGGAGTGTGTGTGTCAGGGGACTTTGGAGGAAAACCCACAGAAATGTCTAGCCTGGCTCATGGGAACTTGAAGAGTCTTAACCAACAACCAGGGAACCTGCATGGGACCAACCTAGGTCCTCTGGATATATGTGACAGTTGTGTAGCTGAGTCTATTGGTGGGACTCCTGGCATTGGAAGCAGGGCTGTCTCTGGTGCTTTGTCTGGCTCTTGAGAACCTATTCCGCATGCAGGATTGCCTTGTCCAGCCTGAAGATGGGGAGGTTCTTGGTTTTACCACAACTTGGTATGCCATGCTTTACTGATACCCAGGGTAGGCCTGCCCCTTTCTGATCAAATATAGAGGAGGGGTGGATGTGGGGGGGGGTGAGGGGATG